ACAAGGGAACGTCTGCCAATTCCACTAACTGCGTTAAAACCACTGATCTATATAATGTCATTCTATATCAGTGGTTAAAACGTATAATTTGTTTTAATTCAATTACTTTTAAAATTTAATAACAGACATTTTCAAATTCCAGAGCTCGTAGAAGGTTTCTGTAAGACTGACTTACAACTAAAATTTGGACAATACTTCCCTTCATGTAGCCTGTATTCTGCAGAAAAATACTGTAATTCACCAAAAGGGTTTTTTCATGCTCAAAATGGTTGTAGTAGTGACTAGGCTTGCTTACTACAGGTGTAATTGTCCCAATACCTCCCTTCATGTAGCCTATTTACAGTAAACTATTATTATTTTATATACAAATTACTGTAATTAACCAAACGGGTTTTTGGTGACTTGCAGGTGAATAATGTAAAATTTCACCTGACTTATCACTAGGAACGAACTACAACCTTTGGAACATGAATAGAAAAACAATTTACAGTAATTTAAAAAATTGTACTGTTCAATCGAGATATTGGCTGGACATACAGTAACAGTAGGCTAAGTCAGTCTGCCCACTAGACTTCCAAGGTTATAATATAACATTTGAATGAATGACTGGACGTTTATATTTTTTTGACTGTGAGTGGAGTTTGTAGATGTTCCCTTTATAAAATGTGGCGAATATCAAACCTAAAACTTACTTCACTGCGCTCTCGGGCCGGTTGCTCTCCCATTCACATGCAAAGTTAAACGCAACTGCAGAATTTCGTGTTAAGCTTTTTCTTTTTAACAGGCTCGGGAAGGAACATTTTATTAACTTGAAACGCCGTACGTTGCGTTCATGTAGTCTCTTGTCTGTAGGCTATATAGTTTCCCTCCCATAGAGCATAATATTATAAAGAAAAAGCTTAACGTCAATGCAGTAAGACGGTGATATTTAAACTCAATAGCCAATACACCTTATTGAACATGCAACGCGCGATTGCACGTTAAGCGTTTTATTAGGCTATGGTTTTCAATGGGTGTTGTTCATAATCTGATGTTATCTGTTTACCTCTATAAAGTATGCTTTATTAATAGGGTAGGCCTATATTATTGTGTACTAAATTTGGTGCTTCAATATCACTCTCATTAAGCGTCTTAAATGCGGAAGAACGCTTGATTACGCGGCCGTTGTCTGTTTTAGCAGAATACTGCCATCTAGTGGTAGCAGGTTTTCTCAGACAGCTGTGTGTGGATCGTGGAAGGCGAAACCCGCGAAATGAAAGTCTCAAAATTCAAATGAATCAAATAGGATCGACTCAGAAACGAGTCAATGAATGCACGCGTGTCACCTGATCCACAACTGCACATCTTACTTGTTGCATGCACAAATTCTGGCCTACATTAATACAAAATCGAGGTTTTGTATAAACAACTATGTCTCTATTTGTACAAAATGCTGCACATTCATGTGATTTTGGATTTTGCACACACAAGTTGTATTGTATTAGTTAAAATGTAGTGACGCACATTTGTGAATTTGTCAAATAGATGGGTAGTTGTGCACACATTAATAATTAGCACCAGGCCTATTCATTTGTAGTTGTTTGTGTGTGGGTTGTGAAATGTTTAAAAACCGCGAAGAGAAAGTCTCAAAATCCAAATGAATCAAATGAGATCGACAAAGAAAAGACGTCAATGAATGCACGCGTGTCACCTGATCCACACATGCACATCTTCTGTGTTGCATGCGCAAATTATGATACACTAATACAAAGGAAACCATTTGTATTCACAAAAATGTCTCTATTTGTACAAATTGCTTCACATTCATTCAATTTTGAATTTTGCACACGCAAGTTGAAAGGCATGGATAAAACATTTCTGCAACATGTATCAAGTTCATTGATAAGTGTGCTTGCACGTGTTAATCATTTTGATACTATAATCATCCCATAATCTGTCTGTCTGTCTGTCTGCTGTTCTTTCATTCTATCATTTTTAGGGTTTGGGGTTAGTCTTATTTAAATGTAAATCCACAGTAGATGTTTATAAAATGTCTTCATTTAGATACTGTAACTAGATAAACAAGTGTATGTTTGTGAGTATGGGGGAGCAGATTTTAGGGTAAGACACAGAAGGGGTGATGATTTTGTGTATGTGTAAGACAGAGGGCAGGTGAGCTGGGGAAAGCCTCCTGTCCTTTCTCTCCAATGCAAAGTAGGTGAGCAGATGTCTGCCTTTCACCTGAGGGAGAAGAGATAAATGATGTTTCCTCTTCTGTCCTCCCTGACTGACTCTCTTTCTTCATCTTTGCCACTGTCATCTTTACCCAGATGCATCATGCCCATTCAAACTGGGGGCATGCCCTCTCAGATTTTTGACCCAAGTAGATTTGAAATCCAACTTACATAAAATTAGTTGTAGTAAATTATTATAATTAATTTTTTGCAGGTAAAATAATGTCTGAAACACTGGCACAATCACATATCTAAATTTGGATCGTCTAGCTTAGTTGCACCACGAACCAATTGTTTAGCAATATAGCAAAAAAAAAAAAAGGTTTTCTTTTTTTGCATCTAATCTCACCTTGGCCACAAAGGGACTACTCCTGTCAGTGATGGGTACAATAAGAACATTTCCAGCCATAAATATTTTTTACCCAGCATGATTGTTTTTTAGCATTATATTGTATTATTTGGCCATTTGAAACTTTAGTTGTTGTTTTTTAAATAGCATTTTTGTCTTTGTAGTTTTTCTTTATGAGTAATGATGTGCCATTTTTATTCTGTGCCCTAGCCAGGTGCAATGAGATAAGATTCCCGTGACAAAAAATAATGGTCTGTTCTCCCTGAATACAAAAATGTGGTGCAAATTCACAGCCAATCAGAACATATTTGATGTTTAATGTGCCGTTATGCGCGGAACTGTATTTATAAATATTTATTTTATGTTCATACAAGATATACGTAGATCCTCTAGTGCAACCTGTGATTGAGTGCTTTGTTCAAGGCCTTAACCACTACACCAACACTCACTTCACAAAACTAGCTCGACTGAGCAGCAGCCGATTCTAACAGATTCTTTAAATTGAGAAACTATTTACAGCAGTGGTAATTTCTGCACAGATTGAGCTTGGGGTGTTAATTATTTCCCCCAAAATGCTCTTAGGTGATGAAATGTGAAATAATGTTTATTTTGGGCTGGATTGTGCTTCTGATTTAGTGGTGAGTTTAGTGCTCAGTTTCTTCATTTAAGATGTACTGGGGCAATAACCGCAAGGTTGCTTGAACATACCATTTTGACCTTGAGCAATGAACTTAACCCCATGTTGCTCCAGGGGGATATCCCCAGTAATAAGCTAATGGTGCTGCTCTATGGTGACATTGAGTGAAACTCATGAAAACAATCCACGGGCATATGGTGATGAAATAAGGTTCCAATGAAAATATTGTTTGAGAAAGTGTTTAAACCTCACCTGCACTGAAAAAGAAAATTAATTGTCATATTTTTGTCTTGTGTTCCAGTAAAAACATCTAAACATCATTACAACCATGCAGATCAATTCTTGTTTTCAGAGAATATATTTTGAATTAAATTATTTCTTCTCACATTTGTTTCTTGTTTTTAAGTATAAATATTTAAAAAGTACACATTTTCTAATGAGGACAAATGAAAAACTTAATTTGAGTTATATTCTCTGAAAAGTTTTTTCAAGTAGATTTTTTATTTAGATCTTAAAATATTTTTACTTTATTTTTTGCTGGTAAACAGTGTGTGTGTGTTTAAGATTAATAATAGAAATTCATAGGCTAATAGCTACCCCACAATAAATCTTACTTCAATTACTTTGAGAGTTACAAAAATGATCCATTATAGCTCAGTCTGAGATGTATCTTTCATGAAAAGGCAGAAAATATTGTTGTATGTGCTCATAGATATTTACAAAATAGATCTTTAGATAGGATTGCCAACTCTCACGCATTTGGCGTGAAACATACACTTTCACGCTCTGTCTCACGCTCACATGTTTGAAATCTCACGCCAAATTTAAAAAGCCAATGTGCTGCCCAGACTGTTTGGCATGTGACATCAAGAATCAGTCGCTCTCCCTGGATTTTGATATCGTACGCCATTCGGTCTGCGCAGCACCACATGAAGTCAAGCACACATATTGACAAGGTATGGGTTTTAATTAAACCAATAAAGATCTGCAACCTCTTGATTAGACCAGTCTGTACTAATCACGTTTCCCCCACACCGTTCAAGGTCACTATATATAAGCTGCTGACCCCCACCTGTGCGACGATCACCAAAGAAGTTTAGGCGGCATTGTGAAACGTAGTATTTGTGCACACAAAGCAAATTTACACGTCTAAGATAACTATTATTAATTTGAGTTGTTGATTTTAATCTTTGATAATAATACCAGCTGACAGGACTTCCTGTATGTTTACAACATTAGTTGAGAGATTTTTTTCCTTGAGAAAAATTAACATGTAGCTGTACCTGATATGTATCCAAATGAATCAATATCGAATCAAGATCGGAATCGTATTGCAAGCGTATGAATTGAAATTGTGAAATTTGTCCCAAGCACTGATAAAAACAGTAGGCTACCAGTTGTAACATGTTGTCACTAAACTTAATGAAATTCTGTTTAGTTACCAAATGTTTTGACAATCACAATACACTTATTGTGATGCAAGGCCCCCCCCCCACCCCCCCCCCCCATAAGGTTTTTGGAGAGTGATGAATGGCTGCATAGGAGAGGTCATGCAATAGCCCTTACATGGAGATGGTTTGGGCATGTCTTATGCTAATTACTAACTGTGTGTGCACGCACGCTCTCTCATTTACATAAATCTGGGTGGGTTCATCAACATTAGACTGATGTTAAGAACAAGTTTATGTGCGGGCACAGCTGTTGTAAACCCAGCAGATATTTCTGCACACTTGTCTTGACCCAGAGTGTCTATAAATTAAGTTAATTGTCGTTCTCAATACACTCTCCCTCTCTCTTTCAGGCAAACAAACTGCGCACTAAGACTTTAAAGAACACGCTGAATCCAGTGTGGAACGAGACGCTCATCTATCACGGCATTACGGCTGCTGACATGACCACAAAAACCCTCAGGTACAGTACCACCTCCATTTCCCATGATTCTCACCTGCATCCAACTATTTTTGGCTTTACTTGCACTGCTGAATTCACCCTTTGAATATATGGCTTTCTGTAAAATCCCACGAGTGTCTCCATCCACCTTATTAATGACAGTGAGAACATTTTTGAGCCCCGTTTGTGTGCTGTGCATGTCTGAATTTCATTACTTCATGATGTTCAGGTCAAGTCAACTCTTTGTCACACGAAGCGCATTGTGTGTGGGCATGTATGTATGTGCGCGTCTTTGACAGCATGTAGTGGACGTCTCTGTGGTGCAATAACACACATTAGCCTTAAGGTAACACCCACACTTGGGTCTAACCTTCTGTGTAGAGGAATGCTACAATTTGAGCAATAAAACTCAGAGGACAGATTGAGATAGGGTAATTTCTCTACAAATGTAATAGAAACCCTTCTGATGTACAGCTGGGAAACAAACCTAGCAGGAGCTCTCGTAGGATGAGAGAGAGGGAGAGAAAGAGAAAGAGAGAGTGAAGCTGTTTGCCTTACTTGTTCCACTTTTTGGTTGAGGCCGTGAATAATTCTAGTTTCATACTGAAACGGTTTTTTAACTCGACCCCGATTTACTCAGCACTGGAGAAATACCTTCAATCCAGAGATTTTAGCCTCCGCAGTGAAACTGTTTAACACAGAAGCTTCTTGTAAATTAAAAATACAATTAGATGCATACATTCTGCCAAAACTGACACAAGCCGAACTGTTTCTCGTGGCGAACATGGATTCTTGCCACTTTTGAATCCCAAAGGATGAGTTTGATTTGATGATTCTTTACGCTCTGTTACGCTCTGTGACCATCATTCTGAAGAGCAGGTTGTTGGAGCCCAAGGCGTAGATGGAGTATGTCACCACGGGCAGCGTCAGCACCTTGTCACAGTGGCTGTGTCTGGGCTATGACAGCTGGCTAATCTCAAACCCGACTGCAGTCGTTCAGTGCAGGGAGAGGCGGCAGGGATGAATATTTTACGTATAAAATTCCAGAGCAAGTATTTCCATATTTACTGTATTTCCTCCCATATGGCCCCCTGTCAATAAATGTCCTTTCTTTCATCAGCTTTTGTCATGTGAATGTCATTTCTCAATGAGAACAATGACTGCTGTTGGCAGGGACATTTTTTTTTTAAGAATGGGTGCGTTATCAATAGTGCTATTGTGCCATTATATAAAAGCATCCTATGCTTTTAGCGGAGTCATTATCATAACGGATGTCATGGAACCATACAGTAGGTGTTTATTGTTTATTAATAGACAGTGTGTGTTGAGCTGTAGTCTTTTAGGAGCCTAGCTGACAAATTTGTTTTGCCACATTTTAAAAACACCTTAACCAGATGTGACACATTTCCAGCGTCATTTTTCCGTCCTCACTTCAGGTGAAAAAGCATGATGCAACAATCGCAGCTAATCAGAGCAATTTCATGTTTAATTATATTTTGTGCATAGGGATTTTAGAGCAATGAGATTTTGCTGTTGGTGGAGGAATTTGATTCATTGTAGTGAAATTAATCTTTGAATCTGTTCACTATTGAATCTATCTGTCTGCCTGTCTGTCGTTATATCATTATATCGTGCGGAGAAAATTTGTTAAAGGGGACCTATTATGCCCTTCTTACAAAGTCTATTTTGTTTTTGGGGTCTTCTAGAATAGGTTTTCATGCTTGAATGTTAAAAAACACCTTGTTTTTCAAATTTTACATTTTTGCAGCACCTCCCTTCCCAGTCTGTCAGTAAAGGCCCCGATATAATTTATAGGGCACCTATTTTGCCCCTTTTCACAAGATGTAAAATAAGTCTTTGATGTCCACAGTACCATGTACTTTGTATGTGAAGTTTTAGTTCGAAATACCCAACAGATAGTTTTTTACAGCATGTTTAAATTGTCACTTTTGGGGGCTGAGAAAAACGCGCCGTTTTAGTGTGTATCCCTTTAAATGCAAATGAGCTGCTGCTCTCGGCACTGAGGGCGGAGCCTCACAAGCTTGTTTTTCAGTGTCAGACTCAGGACAATCTCATCTCATCTCACGGAATGAAAATATCAACACAGAAACTCTCAGTAGCTGTGTTCATTTCGACCTGGAGTCGGACAATAATGCCCACAGAGCCAGAGAACAGGTATAGTTTAGTTTAATTACGGTTATAACTTATTTTTCATCTTGCTTTTATCCACTATTAGTGCAAGCCTGTTGTAGCGGACCGCCTGCGAATGATGGCCAAACATTTACTGATGAGTATTATGAAGTTTATTGTACATCAGACAAAAGATGAATCGTCAGTTTTACTCCAGAAAATCACCGTAAGAGCTGAATAAACACAGTATGAGAAATGCGCATTAAAGTCTTATCCATAAACTCTCTCTCTCCCTTTCATTATCATCAACATACACAGCGAATTACAGAAAAACACTCGTTACAACTAACAGTAAACAAATATATACATACTTTATGCCTTTTCAGTGGGTGCTTAATAAACTGGTAAACTTTATATCCGTAAAACAACTCTGACGAACTGTAATAAAGTGCGTGCTCTGCCTTTCATTTCTGCCGTGATTAGCGACGAGAATACTTTTTGTGTGCAAAAAACAAACCAAAAATATAAATATAGCTGCGAGCAGCGATTACGGGCCCAAGCCGGTGGCACCGCAACGCCGGTTCCTTTAGTTACCTAAAGGCACCGGGGTGGCGGTGCCGCCGGCTTTGGCCCTTCATCGCTGCTCGCAGCTATATTTATATATATATATATATATATATATATATATATATACAAATATATATATATATATATATATATATATATATATAAACATATATATATATATATATATATCACTTGCCTTACCTGATTAGAACAATGAAAACAATAAAAAAATAACTAGGGAATCACTAAACCGAGAGAATTAATCTGTTTTGATGATACACTCAAAATATTACACAAGCAATTCTTTAAATTTAATGATATTCAGAACAGAACAAGAATAAAAAAAAACTATAATTAAGAAATAACCGAAATAATTGAAAGCGAAAGTGAAAGTAAGTGGTGTTTGGCTCACGTAACTCTCTCATTAGAATCAAACTGTTTCAACATTTGCGATGTATTTGGATGCTAAACTATTCTTCATTATGGGCTTTGTACTTCACTCAGGTTTCAATATGTGTGTGTGTGTGTGTGTGTCTGTGTGGGTGAGGTGCGGGTGCGATTGAACTGTTACACATAAAAACATACTCCGTCATTTTGCTCATAGAGGACATCATTCAAACTGCACAGTGTTTACTTATATTTGTGTACACTCGCAATAAAACACAACAAAGTGCTTTTGTCAAACTATAAACTCTTGTCAAACTGTAACCTACAACTGTCACCCAACTAAAATCACACGCACACACTGTCTAAAAGCAAAAAATATTTATCCAACCCCATTTAAAACAGTCTGTGGGTGCCATCTTTTGGACATTCACCATATCGCATTGATTTTCATTTATTGTCCTCAGAGCCCTAATCTGTTTATTTTTCAATTACACATTCTACATTGATTAAAAAAGAAAATTCAAATGTGTTTTTATTTTATACAGGAATAAATTATTTATAATTCAGATGAGAATAAAGTTAGTGTTAGTTCAAATTTTAAGGAAAACAAATATATTTATCTGAAATATAGCACATTCATTTTAAATTCATTCAGGTTAAATTACCAAACATACAATCTTACTTTAATTTAAAGCAAACAATACATTTAAAATATATGGGTTGTATGCATATTTTGGAATTTTAAAAAAAGATATATATCCAAAAAGACAAGGCCTTAAACTTGAACAAGGGTTAAACTCTTGTCGCTGTAAGAGACACAATGATTCAGCATTTTGAACGAATCGATTGACTCAAAGATTCAATGACCAATCCATAAACATCCTGTCTCATTCATGAATGACTCAGTCGTTCGAACGAATCATTTGAACGAATGAATCAATGACTCGCTCATTAAGACGGTCGCCTGGCGACACCTAATGACGGTTTAGTGTTATGTTTAAAAGTATCATTCTTTCCAACTCATATTTAAAACAATCTCACATTATTTAATGCATTGTTATTTTTCAGTGTAAACGATTTAATTTGATCACCCCTACCTAGAGTAACAGCCATATAGTGTCTTATTATTCTAAACAATTGAATTTATTGATCAAATTTACAAATTAAAAATGAAAGATGAAGCATACATTTAATAAGACTAGACTAGGGGTGCCCAGCAGATATTACAATATGCAGATTTAAATATACCATGGCCACCCACCGTCAATTTGGTGTGTGTGTGTGTATAATAAAATCATTTAGTCACTACAATTAAAACTTGAACGTATTTGCTTACTAAATTGTGAGCAGAACGAAAGTTGCAGCAAAGATCAGCAACAGGAGTCAAAATTCATTAATCACGAGAGTGAAGAGCTGACTGGAAAAATTATGACGGAATATTTTGTGTAAAAGCGCCTATTTAAGCGAATCTGTCATTTACTCTTTTGTTGTTGTGTTTTCCCTGAAAACCGGAAGCAATCGGTCCCCGATATGGCGCTAATTTTAAAGTGACACTAAAAAGTATGCGGCTGCACTGGCATTCATAACGGTGCGCGTCCATGGCGACGAGCGAGCAAAACAGAGCGAACATTTTTTCATTTCTACTTCCATAGAAATTCATTCGAGCGCACTGTGAGCGCCACCACTATAAATGTCCATGCGGACGTCCTTACTTTACTTTCACTTTTAACTTAGCGATTTAAAAGCCCCCGGTGTTACACGTCAAATAACCGGTGAGAAAATATTCTCGGAGTCACATAGGCTACCTAATATATTTAAATACAATAGGCCTACCTGATTTTGAACACAAGAGGGCAGTATAGCCCTATGTATTATTTGATATATATATTTTTTTTAACTGAATAGTGCATCCTGGCTGTTTTTAAACTTGTACATTA